CTCCCGCCCCCCCACCCCCCACACACACGCCAGATGAGAAAAATCGCAACTCTGCAGGGTAAGGTAGTGCTGACGGGGTCGGTTCCTGCATTTCTGCTGTTCACTGTCACCTCTGAGAGGCCTTGGCCAGTGGCTAGCGGCGTGTGCATTCTAGAACATCCCAGGAGAGTCCTGATGCTGCGAGGGTTACTGCTCCGGCCGACAGAGAGGCCAGGAAGGAAGTGGCAGGTGCAGCTGCGGTGGCCGGTCTCTGACGAGCCACGGTTCCCTTGGTGTGAAAAGGCGCCTGGCCCGGCCGCGTGGCTCAGCGGTTGAGCGTTGAACCAGGGGGTCACGGTTTGATTCCAGTCAGGGCACAGGCCCGGGTTGCGGACTCAATCCTCAGTGTGGGGCGTGCAGAAGGCAGCTGATCAATGATTCTCATCATTGATGTTTCTATTTCTCTCTCCCTCTCCCTCAATAAAGTATATATCTTTTAAAAATTAAAAATAAATAAAAGGTGTTTGCGCTCTGGAGCCGCCAAAAATGGGCTGTCAGACGGTGCTTTTCTGCTGAGCAGACAGGGAAACTGAGGCCGGGGACGAGGCGTCAGCCGCAGAAGCACTGGGCTTCTTGCTGGTGTTTCTGGGGTAGAGGCAGCATCTTTCTCATCCTGGGGCTTTGCCCCCAGGACACTTGAGAGGACACTTTGGCGCTGGGCTGGCTTCTGGGAGGACTGGCTTCAGTTCAGGCTTCGCCCCTAAATCAATGTTCTTGGGTCCAGCCTGCTTGGGGCCTGGAGGAGGAGTTCTGGCTGCAGAACCAGCTGCCTGGTCAGGGAAGGGCTAGCTCCACTCTAGGGCTCAGCATTCACTGGTCACCGGCTGTCTGTCCCCCAGCTGAGGTGGGGGTGCCTGGACAAGCGCCTCCCAATGCCACTGCTCCTTCACGCCCCCGGCGCCCCCTGCAGGCTCAGCAGGGCCTCGCAAGCACAGCCGGCTGCATGGACCTGGAGTCTGCACTCCTGGGCTCTCAGGGCGTGAGGCCGACGCCGGTGGGAAAGGAGATCTTCATAACCTCAGAGTCCGAGGAGCCCCAGGGACCACCTGGCCCGCCTCCTGCTCTTCCTGAAGGGAACACGGCTAGGACAGGAAGTGACCTGCTCACAGCCACGTGATGAGTCAAGGACAAAGACAGGCTCTCCTGCCAGGCTCCAGAGCAGCTCTTCTCCCACAGCCCACGCTCGTCTGGGCCTAGCACACGCTCAGCGCACACCAGCCCTGGCACCTGCTCCCCTGCCCCCCCCCCCAGCAGGGCCTGAGTTTAACTAGAAGAGCCCCCACGCCACCTGCAAGGGCTACTTTTAAAGGTGAGGTGCAGAGAGAGAGAGAGAGTGTGGCACTCCTCACAAGCTCACACAGCTGGCCACTGAGAGCCTGGACAGATGCGTGGCTGCCCAGGCAGGGGCCTTCGCCAGGCTGACCTGATGGCCACGGGCGGGGGCCCCCCATCTGCGAGCTCCCGTTCCCGGTCCCATTCCCACGGCTCACAGGGTTGGTCT